CTTATGCCTGTGCCTAGGCAAAGGAGCTGTGCGTACCCTGGGTTCCTGGCTTAGGGGAGCTAGCAGTTAATTTTTTCCCATTTGTTAATTCGTTCACTCTCCAAGGCAGGTAGAATGGCTCCAGGCATGTAACGGATCCTACTTCCTTTGATGAAGCCAGTCTGGGACCCAGTGCAGAGCAGGGAGTGGGGGGATAAATGGGAGAGGGTTTTTTTTCCCTAAGATGGGTGTTTTTGATCTGCGTGGTAGGCTGTACACAAGTACTTATCTTTCACCAGTCCAAGGCTGCTTCTCACTGGTTCTGGATGACTGTGTAGACTCCTTGGTGCTGGGTCTCTCCTGGTGTGGAAAATGCACCTCCTGAGCACCACTGCTTGCCTGCCTCACTGCTCACCCCGAAGCTGATCAGGCCCAAAGGGCTCAGGCTCTCACCGGGTCAGGTCTGGCAACTCCTCACCGTGTCCAAACTGTGTCTCCCTCCCCTTGCCACTCAGTCCAGTTCCTCAGCTCTGCCTTTGATGTTCAGGGCTCCCAGATTGCCATATATAATTGATTCACTTGTTTCTTCTGGTCTTTGTTGTAAGAGGGTCCACTGGAAACATCTGACTACTCTGCCGTCTTGGCCCCGCCTCAAACTTCTTAGCTTTCGCGAACAAGTACACTTTTGTTTCCACCATATGATTTGCATGTTAACCAAGAGGTACCTGTTTGTTCCCAATTCTATTTAAATCTGTTGTATTTGTATTATAATTGTAATGTTATTGAACTGTTATAAACACATAATACATAAACCAAGGAAATATAAATGTGAAAAGAAAGAATTTTTATTTTGTAAAAGTTAAGTTCAATGCTTTGGAGAAAGTTGATAGATTCAAGTTGCTAAAAAGCATACTCTTGAATCAGGTGTCAGTAAGACACCTGTAAAATGTGAAAGAAAAAAAAAAACACCCATAGGATTAGAACGATTCCTCTTCAGATTGCTTGAAGAGTATCTATTTTACTCCCGTTGGGAAAAAACATATACTGGAAATTGTAGGCAACATATTGTAAGTTTTAATCATATAATCACAACTGTACTCCATAAGGTTTTTCAAGGGCTGGTTTTTCAGAAGTAGATCACCAAGTTATTCTTCCAAGGTGCCTCTGAGTGGACTTAAACCTCCAACCTTTTGGTTAGCAGCCGAGTACATTAACCTTTTGCACCACCCAGGAACTCCCTATCCAATATACTACATTTCATTTAATCACCATGTCTCATTAGAATCCTCTTGACTGTGACAGTTTTCTAGATTTGCCTTGTTTTTGATGACTCTGACAATTTTAAAGAGTACTGGCCAGGTATTTTATAAAATGTCCCTCTATTGGGCTTTCTCGTGATCATAGTTTTATGTTTAATTCAGTTTAACACTATGCTCATCAGCATATGTTTTTATATGACTATTTTCATGTGACATTATCCATTTTTAATATAGAGTCTTCAAACATTATTTTTAATGGCTGAAAATCCTTGTTATTTAAAAGCTGTGTGACCTTGGACATGTTTTCTAAACTTCTCTGAGTCCTTGGTTTCCTTCTCTGTAAATGGTGTTCACAAGTGAGAAAGGCAAGTAGACTGTTGAGCACAGGCAAGACATAATGAAAGTTATGTTTGAAAATTATCCAGAGAGTGGTGTTTAGCCTATGCTGGAGTAAAGATAGGCAGTCAAGAGGCAACTGCAATAGTTGGGGCCTTCCATGCCTAGGAGGAAGGAAAAGGGGAGATGCTGAGAAGCAGGCCCTGCCCAGGCAATCTCAGGGGTAACTGGGTAGTGGTGGGGTCACCTGGGTCACAGGAGGAGACAGAATACCATCTAGTTGGTTGGGACCAAAAGAAACCTGATGCCCTTGTGAATCAGGGAAGAAGGGGAGGTGGGAGCTTGGATTTTGATGTGTTTAGTTTCAGGTGGTGGTTGCCTATCCAAGTGATAGTGTCTTGTAAAGAATTGGAGATCTGGGTCTGAAGGAAGGTGAAGTCTCAGGGCTTGAGAGTGGACAGTCTCCCCAGAGGCTAATTCTGGAACTCTAGAACAACCAAGCTCTAAAGGGCCTAGGGATCATCGCAACACTCAGTCACAACTGCTGCCATTTAACGAGTGTCCACTATGGACAGGTGCTGGGCAAGACCTGTCACCTGTTCTTTCTCACCCTGAATCAACTCTGCAAGCAGGGTAGGTTTTTGCTTCTTGTTGTTGTTTTTAATTGTGGTAACTATATAGGTAACAAAACATTTGCCATTTCAACAATCTTCACATGTACGGTTCAGTGACGGTAGGTGTTTTTATTCACATTTTACAAATGATAAAACTGAGATTCAGAGGGTTAAGTAACCTGCCCAAAACTATTGTGGGGGTCAAACTATTGTCACAAAACAATATTTGTATAAATTTTTGAATGAGAAATTAACTTGAGCTGTAAACTTTCACCTAAGGCACAATTAAAAAAAAAAAAAGTAACCTGCCCAAAGACGCAGAGCTACTTGGTCACTCAACAATCAGGAAGCAATCCTGCTGTAGTGACTTTAAAGCTGTCCATTCTGGGGTAGGCCAGGAGGCCTCCAACCTCCTTATTTTGCAAACAAGAAACCTGAGGTCTAGAGAGAGGAAGTGACTTGCCTAAGGACACTCAAGTAGTTAAAAACTGAGCTAGGGCTGTAAACCAGGCACCTGCCCGGGCGGTAACTCTGAGGGGCACCCAGCAGGGCGGGGTGGGAAAGAAAGGCAAGTAAAGAAAACACGAAAAAGAGATGAAGACTCAAAGAATGTAATCAATATCACTGAATTGTAAATGTAGAAACTATTGAACTGGTGTTATGTCCTGCTGTTTATAGTCTCACAACAATAAAAATAAATTACATTAAAAACAAAAAAAGATGAAGGAAGAACTTCACAGCAGGACTTCAAGTCTGCCTACAGTTCTCCACCTCACTCTCTTCGCTCCTCACCACACACCCTACACTTTTGCCATCGAGAAGACTTGTAGTTTCTTAATGTACCACGTGATACCACACCTCACCGGGCCAGGAGTGCCCTACTGCTCCCACATGCTCTGGAAAACTCCTGCTCATTCAACACTAAGCTCAAGTACCCTGTGCTCTGTGAGGCCGTCCTTGACCCACTCAGGCCTAGAGTGTGCCTCTCCTGTTACCCCAGGACACTGGGCAGGACCCCAACAAAGTGAGTTGCAGGTTTCTGAGCACCTTAGGGCAGCAATTTCATTTTATTAATTCTTCTTTCCCCAGTTCCCAGCATGACATCCCACCAAATAAATGCTTCTGGAGGAGAAGAAAAAGAAGAGGGACATGAAAAGCCCAGGATCACCGGAACAGAGGAAGGCCCCAGAACATGGAGTCAGGAAAGCTGACTTTATTTCTTTCTTGTGCACACCCACTTCCAGTCGCTGGCTAGGACTACAGTGGACTGGATGCCCACAGAAGGGTTCAAAGATTCAGCAGATGGGAAACCAGACAGGCATACAATCACCATATTTATGTCTGCATGTACATAGATTACATATAAACTGCATGTTTATACATGAGACATGGTACAGGCAGGTTAAGGATTCCTGAAGGAGGGCCTTGCTGAATGCTGCAGTGGCAGACTCTCAGCTGAGACCTACGAGGGAGCATAACAGAGGGCAGGAGTTGAGGAACAGTCTTCTGGGCAGAGAGGTAGGCAGCCATGTAGACAGCCCTCTGGGCAGGGGTGGGCCTCTTGAGGATGGGCCAGGGTGGCCAGGCGCTGCTGCACACACTCAGCCGTCAGCCGTGCTTCCGGGTCTGCATCCCAACAGTCCTCTAGGAGTTCCCTCAGCCCGCCAGGTTCCTGGGAGGAATGACCAGGAGGCAGGTTTGACTCCTAAGTGCCCCGTGTGCTGGGGTTAAAGGGCATCTTCAGTGTCCACCACACCCCTGTTTTCAATACTCCACTTCTGATCCTTTCTAGAACTTCCTTCTCCTCCCCCACCCTGAAATCCAGCCTCCTGCATCTTATTCTCTATGGAAGGCTCTTTGGGTACCTCCCATAGGGTCCACTTTTTCATCTGAGCACCATCAGGCTAATTAGCTTAACATGCTAATGGGAAATTATTCTCCTTTTCTTGAGCAACCAGGGTCTTCTGGAAACAATGCCTGGGCCTCTGTTGTCTGACCCAGCAGACACTTGTGTAGTGGAAATCTCAGACAGGTAGCAGAGGAAGGTGGCCTCATGTTAGGAAATTGTGCAGACCCCTGAAATTTCACTGTGAGGTCGCTTCTTTAACCTTTTATGCCAAGGCCTGGCTTTTATTGGGTCACAGAAAGAAACATGAAAAGACAAGACAGAGTGGGGAGTTACTAGGCTGAATTTTGGGCTCTAATGTACCAGGACAGGAACCAACTTGGGGACAGAACTCAGAGCAGAAGCAAAGCCAGGGAGGGCTTCCTGGAAGAGGGAACTGAGGAACATGGCTAGCCAAGGATGGAGAGGGCTGAGACAGACTGAGCAAAGGTGATCAGGAGGTATGTGTCTCAGGTGTACAGAATGGTTGTGTGGAAGAGAGTGAACTGAGGATGTAAGCAAGTTTGAGCAAGTTTGCCTGGCTCTGGATGAACGTGAGTCAAGGAGTGGTTGGAGATGACAGCAGATAGGAGTAGATGGGCTGGCTCTGCAGAGAAGGCCTTGACACCATGCCCGGCCCCATTCTCCAGGTTCCCAGCTGGCCAGTCTATGGTCTCTTACTGTGGTGAAGCAGTGCCAGGTGGATGGAATGTAGGGGCGCCTTCTCTCCTCCACTGCCAAGGTCCATAGGTCACAAGTGGTGGGGGTGCTGCCCAGCTCTGCCTCATAGGCCAGTTGGAAGGATGGTGGTCTGCTGTCTGGGAAAAGGCACAGGGGATAGATGTCAGTTAGCCCTAGGGGTGTCTCCTGTGTGGAGAGGCCAAGGGGGAGAAGGGCAGGGGTTCCTGGGAACCAGGTCAGTAGGTACGTGGGGCTAGAGTAGGTGGGTGGGGCACCACTGTCCCATTCATCCTTAAAACCCACTGCCATCGAGCCAATTCTGGCGCAGCAATCCTATAGGACAGAGTAGAAGTGCCCCATAGAGTTTCCAAGGCTGTAAATCTTTATGAAAGCAAACTGCCATGTCTTTCTCCTGCAGAACAGCTGGTAGGTTTGAACTACTGACCTTTCGGTTAGCAGTCAAGCACTTAACCACTGCACCATCAGGGCTCCTTCCCACCCATACTTACCAGGCTGCAAATCCGGGCAGCGGCTCAGTATCTCCCATAGGAGCAAAGCCAGAGAGTAAACATCAGCTCGCCGGAGGGCTGTGCCCCAGTCCTGCAGGTCCAGAGTCTTGTCCAAGAGCTCTGGTGCCATGTACCTCTGGGTGCCAGCCTGGAGAGAAAGTGAGGAGGGCCAACAGTCATCTCCATGGCAACCCTCACCACAACATTGGTCCATGCAACATCCCCCCACCTACAGACTCAGCTATGTCCCAGACACTATAGGCATGCTGTACTGTTGCCAGAGCAACAACACATCTCCATCAGTACCATCACCAGCATCATGGGCCTCACCTCTACCCAGAGTATTCACCTCCATGATGGTAGCCGGGCCTCGGGGTTGAGTAGGGGCCCAGGCAGGGGGCTGAGTGAGGCCAGGGAGCACCAAGGCGAGGCCCAGGTCTCCAATGGCACATGACCCATCTTCCCGAATGAGCACATTCTGGCTACTCAGGTCTCGGTGGGCAATACCTGGTTTATATTGACCTGTGGGGGAATCCAAGGTCAAAGGATCAAGGATTCTCTTCCTCTCTCTTTTGACCCAATCTTTCACCTCTAATCTAAGGGAGAATCAGAAACATAGCATTGTGGTTCCTGACTCCCCTGGCTTCCTGGTCCAGCTCACCCACCATCCTGCCAGCGCTCCTCATGGAGAAATGCCAGGCCCTGGGCCAGGGACAGCGCCATCTGCAGGGAACTTCCCCAGTCACTGGTGTGCTGGGTCAGGTAGTGGCACAGGGAACCCTGGGGAGAAGCAGAGAAGAGGGGGCACACCGCTGGAGGGGCTGATCCATCCCAGGGAGCAGAGATCAGTTGACAGACATCTCCCTCACATCTTCCAGCAGACAGATACACTGAGACCCAGGCCAAAGCAACAGGCAGTGGAGGGGTGAGAACATGCACCAATCAGAGTGACAGGAAAAATAATAACTATAGCTCGAGTGTACTGAGCA